TCGGGCTCCCTGCTCGGTGGGGAGCCTGCTTCTGCCTCTGACCCTCCCCCCTCTCAGGTGCTCTCTCTCTCTCATTCTCTCTGTCTCAAATAAATAAATAAAAAAAATCTTTAAAAAAAAAAAAGAAAACATGCTGACAAATCATCATCCTGAGTCCCCTCTGCCCGTCCCCACCCCTGTGCCCTATCCCTGGGAGAGTGCATCGGTTTCCAGGGAGAGCCCCCAGAGGGTGCAACACTGCAACTTAAAATGCAAGTTGTTTCCCAAAAGTCTTTGCATTTTTCATCTAACCTAAGAAGGAGGTGAGAAAAACAACCAGAATCCATCCTTGGGCTTGCCACTGATAATTCAGAGAGGAGGGTGACTGCAGACCATCACTGAACCCGGTCGCCCTGAAGATGACCTAATCTCTCTTCGATGGTGGATGGTTTGAGGATAAACACGGGTATCAGACCCAAAGGTTAGCAAATCCTTTGTAAGATTAATGAACACTAGAGCCTTTGGAAACTTATTTTGAAGAAACCACGGAGGCTCTGGGGCAGCGCAAGTGTTATGAATCTAAAAGGCACCACAGCTGCCAAAAGCGAGCTCCCGCCCCGCCCCCCCGCCCCCTGAGCTCCACTGAGGCTGCCCATGTCGGGTTGAGGGACAGCTGTTCCATGTCAGGGTCAGGCTGCGTCAAGTGGGTCAAGCTGGGGACCAAAATTAAAGAAGGGAATGACAGACCAGTTTTGCTTTGTTTTGGGAAGAGGGAGACCAGAACATGAAGAGTCCTAGAAATGGGATGGAAGATGCCAAGAGCTGGAAAGCTCGGACAAGACACAATGGAGAGAGGGAGAAGCTTCTTGAAAGTCTGGGGAATCAGACTCACTCGGATGCATCCCCCGAAACGCCCTGCAGACGGACAGCCTGTAAGGCAGGGAGGAGCCCGCTGATAACATCGGCCATCCCAAATCCTGATCTCAGGGTCAGCGTCGGAGGTCAGAAGGACCCAGAACTGGACACAGGGGCGAAGGGGATGAATTTCACAGGCTCCTTCCCGAATTCCAAGACTATCACGACCATCCCCAATTTCTGGATTTCTTAAAGTCTCCACGTGCAACCTAACACTGTCTTCCTGCTTCCTTTTTATCTCCTACTCACTTGATGTTTGCTTTTTATTCTTCTAAATACAGAGCTCCAGAAGCTCCAAATCGAAAGAAAATCAAGTTTCAAAAACCCTTTCCGGAATGTCCTGAAGGGGGGATCTATAGAGAGAAAGTAGACTGACTGTTGCTTCGGCCTCAGCGAGAGCTGGGAGGGCATGGCAAGGGGTGACGGCCAGCAGGGACAGGGCTCTTAGCGGTGATGAGTCCTCTAAAATTAGACCACGGTGATTGGCTCCATGACACTATAAACCACTAAAGCACTAAAAACCACTGAACTGTACGCTTTAAATGGGTGGAGTTTATGGTATATAAATTAGATCACAATACAGCCATTTAAAGAAACTATTTTGGGGTGAGCTCCAGAATCATCTCTGTCCTAATCATCCTCAGGAGTCTCTGTCTATGCCACCACGCAATGCCACCAGCCAGCCTCACACATCTTAGCTGTTCCTTTCTGATGGGAAGACTGAAGGCTAAAAAGGCTTCTCCCTCCACCAGAAGTCAGATCCCACAGGAGACCCTCACGCCTCCACCTCCCTCCAAGAACTGACATGGTTCCTTATCAAGGCTGTCAACGACACGACAGCCACATGGACAAAGTGCCTTCTGCTGCCACGGGGTCAAGTCAAGGGCTGGGGAGAGACCCAGTGGTGGCAAACAGCCCCCAAGAACCTGGCAGACGGCCCTGAGCCTCTTGAGGCACTCTGACAACGCAACCGCCAACACACAGCGCCCTTGGTAAGAGGAGCCGGAACCACAGAGGCCTGGGCAGCGAGGTCTTCTGGGCACACAGGCGATCGCTTGGGCCAGAGGGCAAGATCTGGGGTCAACGCTGAGGAACCTCAGACCCACTCGGCCCATGACCCTCTGGAGAAGGAACTCGCGAACGAAGCAGTGCACAGTTCCGCGGACGACAAACGTGTCCTTGGAACGTGGTGCCACGCCCTGAACTCTTCCCAGGAGACAGAACGCCAAATACCTCTGGCACGGACCAGAGCCCTGTTTTAGACTGCAAGGTGTATTTTTAGAAATCACGGGAAAGTTCCGTGCCATTCTCACGTGTCCCCACAGCAGGTACCTCCCTCCGGCCATCGGACCTGCTGCACGGCCACTAGGGCCTGAAAACCTTTCAAAGGATGGTCTCAGCTCTCAAAAAACATCTTTGGCTGTGTTCTCCATACACTGAACTTGGGGGCTAACAAAGTAATTCCACTCAATTACGTTATGTGGCTTATCAGCAAAGACCTCCCTTCCCACGTCACCCGCATTAACAGCAAGCTCAGGGTCAGAAAATTACACACGATGTATACATTTCTGTATATAAACACCACACACACACGCGCGCGCGCGCGAACACACACATGTGCATACACACACACACACACACACACACAGAGGTGTGCAGACTTCGGCAGCTCAGCTCAATCCAACGGACCTGAGGAACGAGCCTAGAAACTGAAGGAAATACGGTTAAAAGAAACAAACCACAGTTGTTCAGAAGAGAGAGGCAGGTGACTTACTTTTTTCATTACCTACCTGAAGCCCGGGCTGCTCCCAAAACAGTGGAACGGAGCCTCTGATCTGGACAAAAGACGACACTCCATCATCCATGTAAATCGTCTGCACCACAAGGAAACATAAAGGGAAAGTATTCCTCAATGCAACTGAATGTCCTGGGGCCGGGTAATGGGATCCGGCCTCCTGAGACCCGACACCAGCCCGAATGAAGGGCAGACAGCGGACTTCTGTGCCCTTGGCTCCCCTGGCCAGCCTGGCCTCGCTGTTCCCTGACCCAAGGCCAACCCCGTGTGCTCACGGGCATGCTGATGGCTGACTAGCCTCCAAGGAGTCTGGAGTGGGCACAGGGCCTCCTGGGGAGAGCCGCAGCTGCCCGGGACTAAACACAGCCTTACCCAGCTCCCTGGAAAGCCCAGCAATGCCTCCCCGCTCCCCACAGTAGGAACAAAAGCAAATGTGCTCTGGAATTTAACTAAGACTTTCCTTAGAGCCCTCTATTTTCAGCTTGTCAACTAGCTAAGTAGCAGAGAGCAATTGCAAAGGGATGGATGAAACAAACAAGCTTTGGCCAAAAGACCCGGGTGGATCACACGAGTTACTGACACTGCACTTGACAACACAGGTCAAGACTTGACTTGAACTTGCAGTTGCTTCTGGCCCTATGCCACTGTGTTCTTAAACCCATCACTAAGTCAACATACATCGCACAGCCTCCACAGGCTTCCAGTGGGGAGCGCCTGCCTAGAAGCAGAGGATACTCACTCGCTAAAGAACAGACCTCCTCCCCCACCACACACACCGTTGCTTCGGGGTGTACCAGCTCATCTATCTGCAGCCCCCGCCGACATTGTATGCAAGGGAGTGTTACAGGGACGAGAAGTGCGGTCCTGAGCATCACGAGGGGAGGCTGCGGCGACTATCAGATGCACTGCCCTTTATCTGAGTAATTCTACCCTGGCCTGGCAGGGCCAGCCTGGGCTATGCTGCTGATCCTTTCCATTTCTTACCAGCCTGCTCCCTTACAGGGTAGCTTTCTGTGTGGCCAGATCACGCTCAGATCACACATGCATTAGTAATTCTGCAGCGGCAGAGGACCTGAGCATCAGACGCGCAGCTCCCTGGGACAACAGGAATTATGGGAGCCTGGCAGCTACAGAGTTGAGTTGAACTCCTTTTTCCAAAGGGAAAAGCACTGGGTTAAGAACTTGTCTGTTTCCAGATATGGACTACCAGCAAATTTGCTATGTCCTATTATTCTACTAAAAACAAAACAAAACAAAACAACATAAAAACCAAAAGCCAAAACCAGGAGCACCTGGATGGCTCAGTCCATTAAGCCTTCAGCTCGGGTCATTATCCCTGGGTCCTGGGATCAAGACCCACACTGGGCTCCCTGCTCAGCGGGTAGTCTGCTTCTCCCTCTGCCTCTGCCCCTCCACCCAGCTCGTGCTCATTCTCTCTCTCTCTCATAAATAAAATCTTAAAACAAACGACCAAAACCAGAAGAAAGTAGCAGATCGCTTAAACTAATGTAGGCACATTGACTACAGGGAGATGAACAGCTTACAGGTCCAGATTAGTGAGAAAGAAACCAATTTAGCCAACATTTCTCTATAAGGATAGCCCTTAACAGTGCCAGGACCTCATTTAAGCTATGGAACTATTACCCTTCACTTTAACACGTGCTAAATGAGCTACTTCTAGCATCAGACCACACCCCTCTTGAGACGGAACTTGCACAGGCAGAACGGGCTTCAGAAAATACCCCCCAGGAGGCCCGACACTCCAGACCCCACCCCTGGGACAGGAAGAAAAGATGCCTCTGATTTCTCCACTCCTCCCTCCCACATGAAGATATGCCAGTTCTGCGTCCCATTCATCATCAGGACCACCTTCTTTGTTGCCAAGGTGATAAGACAAAGCCAGAAGTGGATTTGTGGTGCTTTCCTTCCTGAGCTAAAGAACAGAGGTTTTAATACTTCTGGCAGACTTGATGCCTCGCCTCCCAGAAGTGGTTTTCACAGAGGGCATCGGGATCCTGGGGGGGGAGGGGAGAGGAGGGTGGAGCAGGGAAGCGGGTCAGCTCATGGGCTCTGGGACAGCACCTTCTACCTGCCAGCTCCCATGTGCCCTGCAGGGTGACCCTGGGCACGTACTTTAACCACTTTGGGCCTCAGTTTCCCTCTCTTGGTGAAGCTACTGTTACCTGGTCACAGGGAGGAGTAAGTGAGTAATGAGGGAAGGTGATCCCAGTGCAGGGCGGTGGTTCACTGCTCTTGAGGGCAGGAGAGCACTGCCCAGGAGTGTGGATGAGGCCCCTGCAAAGGACTGACAGAGTGGGCAGGGGTCAGAGCACTGGGGGGGGCAGGGCTTAGGCTGTGGGGAGAGGGACTGTAGGGACACACAAGGGGTGGGAGGGAGTCCACCATGGCTGAGCGGTGGTGAGCCCAAGCTGGGCCTGGGACACCCTGGCCTTGGCAACCCAGTGGCCCCTTTCATGGAGTGGTGGGAGCAGAAACCCAAGGACCCTAAAAAGAAAGATAATGCAGGGAGACTCGCAAGCCAGCAGATACTCTTTTATCTGAAAGGCTTTTGCTCAACTTCCATTTCCAGGTGAGGTGTTTACAAACCAGTGTTCTTCAAGTCTGCTGCATTCCTGGGAAGACACGCAGACATCCTCGCCTTCCCGGATTGATCAGTGGCCTTATCTTCAATAGCCAAATACTTTTCCTCTTCTTTTTTTTCTTTTGGTAGACCAAAGGGACTTTTTGGGGTTTGTTTTTCTGCATGGTGAGTCACGGCTGCAGAGCAGTCCTACCAGGTATGACTCACAGCAGAGCCGAAAGGACTCCAGGCTTCTTCCCAGGAAGACGGAGATGAGGTCCATACCTGCACACATGCGTGCACCACACACACACACACACACACAAATGCACACACACAAAACACCCCCCACAAACACGCACTCACACACCACACACCAAAGCACACACCTGTGTGTGCACACACACACGAACCCTCCCCCCGAACATGCACACTTACACACTACACAGGCATGTGCACAAACACGTGCACACACACACGGCCTGCCTTGGAGGAGAAAGCTTGTTCATTCCTCTTCGGAAAAATGTTAAAGCAAGGCAGAGTGGGTGGTGCTGAAAACATCTCCCTCTTCTGGCTCCCTGAACATTTAATTTAGGAAGGACCCCGCCTCAGGGGACCCACCTGCTCTCTGTCTAGTCCCACCATTTGCAAAGAAGCACAGCACAACAATTCGTCAGCCACCTTCAAGCATTTAGTGAAGGACTCCCACTCCCACATGGCCACAGGCTGGGGTCTGAAGAACCTCACTTCTGTAGCAGGGGCCTGGGATCCATGGGCAACTGCCCAGAGGAGCCAAGCAGACCCAGCTGAGACCCCTTCCTGCTGCAGCCCAGCACCCACTTTCCTCCAAGATGCTGCCTGCCACTCTCTGGTGAGGAGCCCACGTTCCAAAGCCTGCCCTTCTTCCAAGGTCAGGTCACAAAGCAGGCAACACCATGCTACCGGAACGAACCAACCCCACTCTGCCCACGGCATCACTTTGATTCGAAGGCCTCAGGAAGCAATGCACACTCTGCCGTCACCCTGAGCCAAGCCACCAAGACTGCAGGCAGGTGCACGCTACCCCATGGCACCATCCTTTCCCAGGCCGGACAGTCTCGGTTCCACAAACGCCAGGGAGCGGGCCATGCGGGCTCCCGGGGGTGACTCCTCTAGGCCCCCATCACATCCCCGCAGCCCCCGATGGGCCAACTTCAACAGGGTTTCAGCAGGTTTCCCGGACGGTTACTGTGCGGCTCCCCCTCCCAAGCTTCCCCTGAGCGCACAGATGCCCGCAGGCTGCGCATCCTCCCCGGGCGCTCGAACCCAGCAGCCCCCTCACCAGCAGGTGGCGGAGGGAGGAAGGCAGAGGTGTGCTTGGCAGGAACACTGCTTACATGTATACTCCACTTAGGAAAAGGTTTTTGTTAAAAACAAACAACTCAGATCAACCTAAGCCCTTCTATTGCTACCAAGTGCTGTCAACAAAACCATTCCACGACTACAGAGACAGAGAAGATGGCTGTCTTGGACAAGCAGGAGCAACACGAGATTCTCGTCTCTCAGGGAGCAGCTTCTTTCCTTCAGCCCTGGCCGCTCATCCTGCCTCTGAAAACATTTCAGGAAAGGGGACGACGCGCCTATGGCGGACGCCACCTCTTCGGGAAGTGGCTGACCCCCCGTCCGGGCTGCGCTGGCTCCCAGGGCACGGTCAGGGTGTCCCTCGGCCGGATGCTTTCCTCGGAAGCACACACCTTCACTCCTGCCCCCCCACGGCGGCCCCACGTGGTGCTGTGTGCGTCCATGAGCACCGACGGGGTGGGGAGGGCACTCCCAGGACGGTGAAGGTGCCTGTCCTGTTCCTGCTGCCTCCCTGCCTGGGCAGGCTCACAACCACACTCAGCTGGGGGGCTCAGAGTCCGCCCCCCTGTTGCCAACGAGGACACACCTGGAGTCGGCTCTGGAACTGACTCCTCCCTGCACCTGGGGGTGGCCTTCTCCGCCACTCCCACCCCCGGCCCCACACCACGGTGGTCACACTGTCTGAGGGCTCTCGGAAGGCATAAATCATCCTGGGAGAGCATGTGGTCTGTTGGGAGTAGCCCCACAGAGAACTGCTTTGGGGGCAAGGCCACCATGACCCCCTTGCCCCGTTACACGTCTGGTAAAAACAAAATCACCACGGGCCCAAGGAGCCATGCTGGTCCCGGATGAGAGCCACATTCACCGCCCATCTCTGGGGGAACAGCAGATGGGGGTGTCTGGCTGCATGTCGGCTTGTCTGATGCTTCTAGAGCAAGGTTGGGCTGAGAGTTTCATCAAGACCTCTGTCTGATCCCGAGTCCAGAAGAGGAAAAGGGAGAGAAAGCATGAACTAGGAAGACCGCAAAGGCTGCGTGAACCAGGAAATCCCTCCCCGATCCTGAGAAGGGAGGCAGGTGGAGGCCATTTAAATAGCATGGGGCTGCAGGCTCCAGGAGCCAGAGGGCAGGCGGGTGGTGTCTCTGAGGCCTTGCTGGGCCGGCCACAAGGAAACAAGGTCCCTGTCTCTGAGCCCGAGCAGTTGGGCACATGGGACAAATGCCAGTCACCAGGCCCACATAGATGAAATAACCAGAGCAAAGTCCCCAGCCCTAGTCTGTAGAAAAATGAGAAAAGCAAGCACAGTATCAAGATTTTTCAAAAAGCTAAATGTACTGCATTTAAAGCACTGTCCCTTAACACTGAATTATGTCTCTATGGGTTCAACTGTGTCCCCCAAAAAGATATGTTGAAATCCTAATCCCCAGCACCTCGGAATGTGACCTTATTTGGAGATGCGGTTAAGATGGGACACACTGGACAGGGTGGGTCTCCTCGTTAAAGGGGAGAGGGCACCACATGGAGGTGAGGCAGAGATGAATGAGAGGGCTGCCACAAGGGGGCCCCCAGAGCTGGAAGAGGCAGGAAGGATCCTCCTCTAGGTGCTTCAGAGGGAGCATGGTCCTGCCAACACCCAGAGTTCGGACCTTTGGCCTCCAGAACGTGAGACAATAAATGATAGTTGTTTTAAGCCCTGTCTGCGGCACTTTGTTCAGATGTGCAGTGTTAAAATGCCCATCTCTCAGGAACAACAGTGATAGGGAGGGCAGGTGCTTTTCCAATGACTTACTTGATAAGGATACAATAGATGAGACCCCAATTTTTAAAAAATATGGTTGAAACTCACAACTCTGGGAAGCACCAAACAAGAAGAGTAAATGAGGGACTATCTACCCAAAAGCTGGATGGAGAGCACGGCAGGGGCCACGCTCCAGTGCCGTGGATGAAAACCTCTTCCGTCTGCTTCAGTTACCAGGTTCAGGGGGCATGGGCATTTTTGATTTGTTCAAATACGCTTAGCACCTCTGGCCCCCAGTTCCTGGCACAGCGCTCAGCCCCTGGCAGGCGATAAACAATAACGATCTGTTGAATGCACTGATTCAAAGGCTCATCACAGAAGGATAAGCATCGGGGTGGGATGCGGTAATGCAGGCGGGGCCATGCAAACGAAAGGAAGTACTTTCCATCACACGGACATGAGCAAGAAAAGAGAAAATGTCCTCCATCTTGGGGCCACATTTTCTCTGACATTTTTAGCCAGATATTATTTATATCCAGGAGAGCAGACAGAATGAACAGCCGTCATAGGCAAGATGCGGCTCATCGGAAAGCTCCCGTTCCAAAGTCGTCCTCCTCAGCATCTGACTCCAAGAGGACCTCCTCACCTTAAGCCCAAGCAGGGGGCAGCTCGCACACAGAAAGCAGGTGCTCAGATCTGCGCTGAATTAAACTGGCTCACGTGTTGGTAGAAAACACCTCTCACGGCTACAAGAAGGAGGGGATGCGAAGCCACATCAAGGCTAATAAACAGGCTGTTTGCAGCATACCACCCACAGCTGCGCGGCCCCTGTGCCTTTCATGGGGCTTGCCTTTCTTACAATTTATTCCACCTGTCAGTCTACAAGGTGGCCTTAGCCTACAGATTTGCAACCTACAGAGAAAAAAAACCAATGTAAGACAGCATCTCTGGGAATGAGTCAGGGGGGAAAAAATCAATGAGAGATTAAGCAGATGGTTATATTCACGGAAGCTGAAAGCAAGTGCCGCTGAACACGCAGATTTCGCAACTCCCAGGTGCTAAGACACGCTCCGATTGATTTAGAATAAAAAATGGTTTCTCCTCTCATCCTTGCTTTACTGATCTACTTTTTGTCTTAAGAAGATTTGCCAACCCTGCTGGTTCATCCATCGCCTGCCCTCTGAAATAACTATCACCCTTTACGACCATAGCAAAAATTCCTGCTTCCTTTTAGCTGAAAGTACCTCGGGGAAGCAGTATTACCCCAGCAAAAGTGTATCAGGAAAGACAGCCCAGGCCAACTGGAAGCCACATCTGCAGGCAGAGCCCCAATGACTCCGTTGTCTCATCAGAGGGAGAAGCCACGATCACCAGAAACGACCTCCAATATGCCTGGACCTCTTCTGCCCCAAATGGAAACGCACGTGCACGGCCGGGTCCCCTCCGAACCACCGGGCGCCACCGACCGGCCCCCGCACTGACCTGCTCAGTCTCCACGAAGTTGGACACGTGGCCATCGTCGTTCACGCCGCGGGTGTGGAAGCGAGCGCCGGCGCGCTCGCAGCTGATGCGGGAGATGAGGCAGGCCTTGGCCTGCTTGTGCGAGGCGTACACCGTGCGGATGGACACCACGCCGCAGATGACCTTCAGCAGCCAGTCGCAGCAGCTCACCTGGTGCTGCCTCAGGGGCACGTGCAGCAGCTGGTTCCTGCAAAACAGAGCCCCACAGCGGCTCGGGTCACAGCGCATCCTCCAGGTACCACTGCGCCCAAGCGAGTGGGGAGGGGCAGGTGCACGGCGGGGGCGGGGGAGGCACCCGCAGTGGCCTCGGTGCTGGGGATCCGGGGCCGGGAGGTTCACATGCTTCTGTGATGCCCCCCCCCACCCCAGCCCTGTGCTCCAAGCAGCAGGGCAGTGGAGGCTGCGCAGTATCAACCGAGGCAACCTTCCCAAAACCACTGCGGGCATCAGTATCAGCGAATGAAAAGCCCGGCGGGGAGTGTGAGCCAACCACCACCTTCCAGCGAACATGGGAGGAGCCTCCCTTTAAACCCCCCGCCTCCACGTTTTTAAATCAGAAATCCCATCAGTAAAAAATTTAATCATAGGTTTTGTAATTAAATAATAAATGATAAAAATAATCATTAAATATATGCGTGCTTATTTAAATGACATACATATCCCATGAGGTATAGACTATCCCCATGAGAGCACTAGGAAGCAATCCAAAATAAAGAAAAAAAGATGAGACAAGGGGCACCTGGGTGGCTCAGTCAGTTAAGTGTCTGCCTTTGGCTCAGGTCGGATCCCAGGGTCCTGGGATTGAGCCTGCGCTGGGCTCCCTGCTCAGTGGGGAGTCTGCTTCTCCCTCTGCCTCCCTTCCCCCCTGCTTGTACTCTCTCTCAAATAAATAAAATATTTTTTATAAAAAGGATGAGACTAAAATAAGAGCAATGAAAGTTCCAGTATTTCATCCCCATATCTGGTGGATTGTTCTGGGGCTCTGGGGACCCCTGGTGTCCATGATGATAAGGATAGGGATAAAAGCCCATTTATGAAGTGCACCGAGCACCACTCTTAAGTGCCTTGGGATGGATTAACTCACTTCATCCTCCAAAGGCCCTATGTGAAAGGTATTATCATTCAGCCCATCTTACAGATAAAGAAACCGAGGCACAGGGAAGTGAAGGACTTGCCCAAGGTCTGGGAGCCAGTAAGCGGCAGCGAGGAGCTGGGAGCCTGCGCTCTTTACTGGCCCCGCCAGCCCCAGGCCTACCTCCTCTCTCACTGAAGGCCCCACAAGTACCAGCCGCACCTGCGCTCGCCACCACCTCCCCTTGCTCGCTCTGCTTCCCCAACACCCACTTGACCTTACTCGGCCCCAGCCGCCACTCTGAGAAGGAGGCGTCGGAGGGGTGCCCGGGCCCCTGACACTGCAGGCCGAGCTCCATTCGGGGTGCTCAGGGGACCCGCACAGCACCTTCCGGGGCCTCTCGGACACTCCCAGGGAGGCAGGAACCTTCCCAGAAGGCTCTCTCCCACAGGGTATTAAGCAAATCTAGATCACAATGCCCTATTTGTTTAAAAAAGGCACCACTGTTCCTGCCCTAGAGCCTTCCTCAGAGATAGCAGCCTTCTCTCATTTCTTCAGAAGTACCCTGTGAGCCCTGATGTCTCAGGTGGCTTCTCCAAGCAGCAAGGCTCCCAAGGTCTCAGGCCAGCCTCCCCGACCGTCGCTGAGGAACCCCACCCCTCAGGGAGCGGCCACGTGGGGCCCCCTTCTGAGCCTTCCTAGCCACTGTGCCTGTCCGCCTGAAAAATGATGATCACAGGGCACTCCTTTACAAAAACGCATTTTCCTCTTCTGAATCACTCTCCAAAATTCAGATGATGAACCAGCTTTAGTAACAAATTAAATCTGCATATGGCATCAAGGCAAAGCCTCCGGAATATTCCAGTCTCCCAGCCACACAGCTATGGCCGCCATCAGTCACCAGGGGTCAGGCAAAGGAGCCTGTTGCCAAACAGTCGACTCTGAATCCCTGTTTGTAGCCACACTGATCTGGCGCGCTGTATGAGGACAGCTCTTCTCCTCAGAGGAAGGGACCCAGATCTATAAAGGAAAACTACTGTGAGTTTCCTCCCAGGCTCGCATTCCACTGGGAAGCACTTCTCAGTGGGGTCCATCAGCAGCCCGGAAAAACAACCTCACACCGCCCTACACCCCGCCCCCCATTCACCACCCACGTTCCGTATTGACCCCATCTGACTCCAGATGTGGGTCCAGACCTGGAACATGGCACCCCCGAATGGTGGCTTTAGCAACCAAGCCCGTGACTGCTCAGTCGGGGCTGACTCAGTTGTGGTCAGTTCCGTGGGCGCCGCCCAAACACCACACCCAGTGGCCTGGCACCCTCCAGACTGCCGCTTCCTCTCAGCTCAAGATACAGTCTGGCGTCCACCTGGGGCTTGCCCCTTCCCCAGCCCCCCTCAGCCTCCACCTCGTGATCTGCACCCTTCCTGCTGTTCTCTGGGGGCCCCAGGTCTCCAGCCCCACAGCTCGCAGAAGAAAGCCTGACAAAAGCAGTCACAAAGGCCACCCGGTTCCCCAGGCATCCCCTACCGTCCTAAGATGTTGCCAAGGAATGTCACGGCCTCTGAGACCTCTCCTTGCCCACCGGTCCCTGTTGGAAGCGGCTCCGTGGCCTTAGCACAGATAGCGCTCAGAATCCACAGCCCTTGCCTCCCTAACTTCAGCAGACTTCAGGGGCACCAGCTCATCCCTGCACAATGGACTTAGTGATTCACAGAAACACCATCCCCTGGACCTGTTTCTCAGAGAGGGGTCCTCAAATCCCAGGACAGGAGGCACCGTGGTCACCTGGCTGGAAATGCTGAGTGTCCACCCGCCCCCCCCCCCCCCCCCGCCCAAACTGGCTGAGTCAGAATTGGCATTTGAACAAGATCAGCAGGAGATTCACAGGTATTTTCAAGTTTGAGCACATTACTGCCCCAAGAACTCAACAAAACCAGAGGGTCCAAGAGGGCCTGGGGGTAGGGAATGCCGAGGCGCATGGCAGGATATGGTGAAGGCTCTTTCTCCAAACAGAAGTCGGGCCAGGGGTGGGGGGCCCGAAGCACCAAGGAAAAAAACATTTTTGCAGTGAAGGAGACCTACGAGTTTCTGGGTTTGGGCACATGGAGGGAGGGAGGCAGGCATAAATAAAGGATCTAAATAAGCCTCACCAACTCTGTCTTAGGGCTGGAAAACGGGTGGTTCCAAAGGGCCAGCACTGGAATTCTAAGAACATTCAGTATATGAGGCAAATTGGAGCAATTTCTATGGCACGATTTTCATCATGTCGGCTTGATTCACTTCTCACACGTCTCCTGGCAAATCTGAAGGCTACAGTAGTTGACAACCCAGGCCTGGCACCCGTCAATGTAAGTCACTGCACCACCCCTCCCCAACAGGATTTGCCAGGGTCATGACCCCCAGCGTCCAGAAAGAGCTGTAGATAATTTACATATTTATACAGTCATCCACACCTAGCTGTGTCCATGAAGGAGCACCCGAGTAACCCTCAACATACAGAAATCCAGGCACCTTGGTCTGGGCTTCAGGCTATGTCTTATCACATGATTACATGTCATCTTGGCAGGCTGACTCAGTTTCCCCATTGTCGGAGGAGCTGGTTTGGCTTGGTGATTAACAGTACAGGATCTGGAGCCAGAATGCCTGGGTTCGAATTCCCTCACTTGTTCAAGCCTCAGTCTCCTTATCTGTAAAATGGGCATAACAAACAGACCCTACCTCATAGTAACCTACTATGAGGATTCTGAGTTATTACCAGCAGGGAACTTATTAGAACATGAGCACCGTATATAAGCAGTAGTAAATGTGCGTGCACCAGAGGGTAACCAGGATCGCTGAGAGGACAACAGGAGCATTGAGCACGGCCCAGCACTTAGGAAGACCCGGTAGATGTTGGCTCTTATGCTCTTTACTTATGGAGAGTTTCTTTTCTAAATCTACATTAGACCACTTTGAACACCTTCTCTGAGCCCAGAGAGGGGATGGGGGGTTAGCTTTCTTATCACTGTGTTGAGAGCAACTGGGCTCTCAGAGGTACCCCAGGATGATGTAAAGCAGAGAACAAGGACACAGGAGCCAATCAGAGCCCGCCCTCCATGTGACCCAAGGGGGATGGGGATGGGGGGGGCGGCAGGGTGGTAGGAGATGACCCAGGGCCCTCACCAAAAGAAGGAGCTCCCCCACTCGTAGCTGTCATGGCCCTGCTTCTGCGCCCGGACGGTGAGGTCGAAGCTGGACCCATCACTGGGCCACGAGAAGTAGAAGACCCCCGAGTTGAGGATCTTCCTCAAGGCTGTGAGGCGGTCCTCCTCCTTGGCCTCCTCCTGTAGAGGGTAAAAGTCGGTGGCGGTGATTTTGTAGATTTCAGCCTCTGGAATTCTGCCCACGGATGTGCAGCCTGTCACCAAAACCAGGAAGCTCAGGGAAGCGCCACCTGGAAGGGAAACAGACAAGGGGGCTTAGCACCACACTGAGCCGGAGCAGCCCAGAGCCGAGCAGGGGACAAGCTCCCACAATGCCACTGCAACCACGCAGCTGTGTTTGCTCCCTTGCAGCCCCAGGAGTCTGTCACCTGAGCCGGAAGCCCAGTGCCTGGTTCTCCGAGGGTGGCCTCTGATCAGCAGCGGCATCACCACCTGGGAGCCCACTGGAACTGCGAATTCTTGGTCCCATCCAGACCGCGGGGCCAGGGGCCAGCCACCTGAGCTGTAACAAGCAGCCAGGCCATCCTGCTGCCCACCAGCCTGAGGGTCACTGGCCTGGAGCCTTCCTGGCCCTACAGCCTCTCCCGCTCTCTGCCACCCAAAGCCTTGCAAATCCGCCCTCTCCACGAAGCCTCAGGCACCACCTGGCTCAGGGCCCCCCAGTGGGGTCAGTCCTCCAAGCTCAGCCACCGGAGTAGCCTCTCGAAGTGGCCTGCTGGAAGACCTCCCTCTCTGCTTAAATCCTTCCACAGCTCCCACCTCCCCCAGGACTGGAAGGGGAACTCCTCCCAGGCCGACCACCCCCGTCCCTCCCCACCTACGGACACCCATGGTCCAGCAGCTCTCAAGGGCTGTCCTCTGTGGCTCCTCAAATACGCCATATGCCCTCACACCCCTGGGCTTTTGCCCAAGATGTTGTCTCTGCCCGGGACGCCCCACCACCATCTGTCCATCAAGGCCTTCCCCACTCACCTTCCCTGCCTCCACCCTCTAGAAGAGCCACGAGCCTTCCCAGTGTTCATCAGGGCCACCCTAGCTCAGTCCCTCCTTTCCAGGAGAACTCCTCTCGGGGAGCCTGCCCTGCTCTCCCAAGACATTGCTATGTGCCCCTCCTACAGGCCAACGGCATCCCTGTTAGCCCTCATACACGCAGAGCTAACAACCTCGTTCCCATCTGGGTCCCCCAGTAGACTGGGGGTTTCTTAGGGGCAGGACTCTGCTTCATTGTTCCATCCCAGCACTACACATGGCAGACGGAGGAATACTTCCTACCTGAGCCCCCCACTCCCCACGAAATGATTACCCCTACCACTGCCCACCTGGTTGCCAGAACAAGGCAACCCCTCCGGGGACCCCACCACACCGTCCGTGGCTGCCTTCTCTTCCGCACCCCCCACTGCACAGGTACTGACAAGCACATGCTGTGGGAGTCAGGGGTGCATGGCAAGGCTCTGCTCTGGGGACAGCAGGGACAGTGCCCCTGCTCTGTTTCAGGAGAGGGCCCGAGAGATCACTGGGGGGACCAACTGGCCTTCAGGGGCTGGCGTGGTTCTGGTCTAGAGGATATTCTTCCCACCCTGCTGAGCTTTAAAGGACCTGCTCCCAGCAAGATCCATTCCCAATGGTCAGAGGTCATTATCTGGAGCCATGGTGGCCAACATTTTAGACACTCTGATAAAAGACCCTTAAGTCCCAGTGTTCATTGTGTCCCCCCCACTCCCTCCTCACACTTGATAAGAAGAAGGGTGCTGCTCGGGGCCAGGACACATCTGGGTTTTTCTTAAAGATGCCTTCATCCAATAACTAGGTCACTAATCCTACCAATCCTGTTGGGGGGGGTGTGGAACCAACGAGGCGACCATATTGGCTCATATCCCACCTCCGCAGGCAGATTATCAGGAAACTACTTTAAAGCAACTACTTTAAAGAATAAGGCAGTTATGCTGTGGACAGTGATCACTGTCGGGGGGCTGAGTTTCTTAAGCAGGATAAGTGTCATTTCTGGAAGACAGGTGGGGTTTGTGTGGGCTTGATGTCCCTGAATTATAGCCTCACAAACACAAACATTCCCAGAGCCTGTGCTCGAACCAATGCCCAGGCATCCCCTCTGCCTCTGTCGATGTGCTCAGAGCAGGGAAAGCGGAGTTCAAGAACAACCAGAGGCGTGGCCAGGGGACAGCCCCTGCGGGCTAGGCTGCGAGCCCCAAAGGGGATTCTGTAGAGTGGGGTCAAGGTGAAGCGTGGAAAACTAAGTCTCTCCACCCAAGTTGTGGAGTGGATTTCGAGCAGCACTTCCTCAACAGCCCCTGCGTGGGGGGACCGAGTCCCTGGCAAGAGTCCCGGGTGGCTCTGAAGACAGTAGGCATTTCCTGTGCAGGGCAGTGGCCCGGGGGAGGCTCGGGAGGGGCGGCTGCAGCAGGCATGAAAACGCTCTTAAAATAAATGAGAATTGGAGCTCCTGAGTCCTGGGACGAGGGGCTCAGGGGAAGGCACAGGTAAATTTTTAAAAATCCACCATAGGAGCGCACTGGAACCAAGCACTTTGATGACAACGGACTCTCAGGTCCTGGTGTTTCCCGGGCACCAGACACCGTTCCGTGACCTTCCTCTCAACAAGCCCATGGGGGGGGGAGGAGGTACCACTCTTAGCCCCATTTCACAGAGAGGCAGATGGAGGCACAGAGCGGTTAAGAAGCCTGCCCAAGGTGACCCAGCGGGGGAGCTGGGATTTGAACCCACTTCCGGGCTCTACCGCCTGGGAAGTTACTCAGACCAAGTCTGCTTCCAGAGCTGGCACTCTTTACCTGGATCCTCGCTGAAGGATGGCCCACATGCCTGACGAGGCTGCCATTTCACACGCGAGGGACTGTCCCCTGGGGGAGCTGAATCATCTGCCCAAGTGCGCGGCTAGTCTGTGTTGGACCCACAGTGCAAAGGTGGTGGGTCTCACGTCCCCGGCTCCCTTGGGCCCCCAGGTCTGGCGGTCTCCAGTCCCACCGGCTTACTGTCTCACTAGGCGTGTGGCTGACTAACGTACCATTTGCTCATCTGACACCACAAGTTTTCATCATTAGTTCAAACGGTTATGAATAATATATTTTCCAGCATATGCTAAATACTGACGTGTAAAAATAAAACTGTTGTGGGCCTCTTTACCAGGATCCAGTAGAATCTAGACTCTGGTTTGATCAAGGAATGCATGAATAAGTTCTTCTTGAACAGATGGGATTTTCCTCGTATTTCCATTCCATGTCCCCCCAGAATTTCATCCTAATGTCACATATTTTGTGCTTCTGTGTCTCTTGATCCTACTGTGCAGCAGTTTGATCCTAACGCTCGAAGTGTTTAGAAGACTTGAGTTATCATTGCAATGATTTTTAGTACAAAATTGGTCAAACACTATAAACACAATGCTTTGCTAAACATGATTTAACATAAAAAATATAAAGATTTATTGGGAAGGTGGATGGGACCTCTGGTTCCTATATCCACAGATAAATATTATTTATTAACGGAATGAAACTAGATCCTGTACCAAGTCTAGTTCTGTTTTTCATTTTTACAGATGTGAACACTAAGAAACCTTGTTCACATTCATAGATCGACGGGCTTCATTATAGAAACGCTGCCCAATCACTCTTCAACGTCCTTCTGAGTTACCTGTTAAAAAAAAAATAAATCACTAAATCTATCCATCAAATTACTATTAATGCCGTCCGCTGATGGCCCACTGACGTTCTCCTCCAGTTTTGTCAAAAGCCAACCGCTGGCTGTCCCCTGACTTGTTAAACTGAATGTCACCCAGGCACCGAGGTGACATGCAGCCTCACCAGAGCCAACAACAGTAGGCGGAACCGGCCCTCTGTCTGGCATCTGTAGGTATCTGCCGCCCAGAGCCACACACCATGAGTGGGGTCAAGGAGTGACCCATTCTGGAGGCAGAAGAAGGTCAGGTGGAAGGGGATGGAGGAGAATGAGAAACAGGCCCCCTCATCACAGGGACATTCTTAGGCAAACAAAGGAGGTGAGGACCTAGGAACAGTTCTCAGAACTGACCAAGTCCGTGTACCGTGGACAGTCTCTGTGACCTCAGAGGAACTGTGTCAGGCCACGGCCTCTCTGGGAGGAGGACCCGGCCCTCCGCAGCCTGGCGCGTGGCTTCCTGTCACTCCAGTCCTGGCATGACTCCCCCTCCCCAATCTTGTCTAGCAACCTTGGATGCACTCCATGTACTACAGGTTTTAAGGAAAGCGTCCTGATTCGAGCCCAGCACCAGACTGTGGGGTGGGGGTGGGAGGTCACTGCCCCCTGGCCTACCTGTCAGAAGGTGTCTCTAGGGGCTAATAGTGGGGCTGGGGGGACTCACCTGCCCCAGGTGTGAAGGATGTCCCTTCGGGTGCTCACCTTGCACACAAGACCTAGGCTTTGTTTTTAGTAAGGCAGGATCAGTTTCCTCCCAGCCAAGAATACCAGGCCTGGGGTGGGGGGAGTGGGGGGGGTGGGGTCTCAGAAGTCATTAGTCAAGGCTGAGTCCAGGGGCTTAAAACCAGGAAGGATCTTCTAGCACGGAAAAGACAAAACTCAAACTTGCTTTGGCCTCAGCAGCTGAGGCTCTGGCCTCTGCACGTCTCTATCGGCTGTGGGGCCTCTGGCCAGTCTCCTATCCTTTCTGGGCCTCAGAGAACAATGCGCCAGACGGCCTCTGGGTCCCTTCCAGCTCGGAGGAACTCTGGTTCCAGGGCTCTGGCCAAAGCAAGAGCACGCCTGGGTCAGAGGTTGCTGGCCGCATTAGGGGAGGTGACAGGGAGGACAAGCAACAGGTCACAGGCCCAAAGACACACCAGAGCAGGAAGGGATCACACACACACAGGGACACGTACACCGCTCCAGAGTGCGGACCAGTCCCACAGCCTGAGCAGGCAGGGTGGGGAAATGGGAGGCGACCACCCCAATATGTATTGTTTAGTGGGGCCGGGGTTTCAGTTTGGGAAGATAAAAAGAGTTCTAGAGACAGATGGTGGGGATGGTTGTACAACAACGTAAATGTCCTTAATGCTACGAAACTGTCCACTTTAAATTGGTTACAGGGGTAAGTTTTTAGGTTCTACACACACACACACACACACACACACACACACACACACAACCTCGGAGACCTCAATGTCGATTTAGAAATTCTCTCCCTTGAGAGGGTTGCCTTCAAAACCCAACTCCGAGGCCCAGCTGCCCC